CAATCAATAATAAATAATAGAATTCTGTTGGCGGGATGGCCGTCGAAATGAGCGCTAAAAGTGAATGGGCATTGGGGGAGGCAGGGTGTAAGACTATAGTGGCACGTAATTTCAACATACAAATAACTAGATAAACAAATAGGTTTTGACATATGGGTTAATATCCGTAATTGCTACAGGACAATTTTGATTGTTGGGAATTGGGTTTTGGCTTCATCTTCATCGAGCTGCTATCATCACGTTTAAATTGGGCCTCGGGCAAATCGATACGGTAGCTGGAAATCGATTTATAAGGTGAAATTAAACGGAGAATCATAGGAAAATATGTATTTAGGGCTAAAACGCAAAACTAAATCACAACAAAATTAATTTATTAGTACTAGTAAAAAAATTTTTTGCATTCATTAGGTTTGAATTTATAGAAGGATATTTTCCGTTTATAATTTACATTGCATAATTTTAAGAATTCCGTTAAGCTGCTGATTTTCCTAACCCTTTAAAATGTTCTAAACAGAGTACTTTTTTATTGATTTAACCAACCCTTCATGCATATCCGCTACATCAGTCGTATGCATCGCCGGCCTATGCATTTCCGGAATATAATCAGTATCCTCATGATTAGCCTCCGAATTCGCCAACGCATCCACATCCAGATCCGTACATGGAATGTAGTCAATCTCCACCTTATTCCGGCATTTCGCCCTAGCGAAACGCAGCTGTCGGCTCGATTCGACTACCTCATGCGGTTCAATAGATACCGATCGGACTACCGTGACCGGATACAGTAGCCACAGGGGCATCGTTAAATCAACGTCAACGTTGGGGAGGAATGTTCGGGCATTGGATCGAAGGGAGGACAGCTCGAATCAGCATTTTAGGAGATGGGCCTCCGTAGGCGGCGTGATGTTCTCGGGTAGGCGGGATACGCTCAGACGAGGCTACGGTAGACGTGTTCGTATTTTTGCTTCGCCGATTGCTACCTGTGAAATCGTGTTTTTACGATATGAAGCTTAATTTACCTCAATCGGTTGCTCGTTTTGTTGTACAGCCCGAGAAGCTAGATCTTCAAATTTTGAAGGGAAAATGAGGTTGGTTTTAGTAGTTTGAAATTGCTTCCACCTTGACTTTGCTGGCCTCAACTCACCCGATCCATCGCCCAATTCTGTTCCTCGCGGAAGATATAGATCCAAGCTTCCGGAATCGGGAATTAAGCCGAATTGGATGGGGCGATACGCTGATTTTACCGTATCACAAATATCCCAAAAGGAATCAGCTCGCCGCCGGTTTTCCGCCTTCGACCTTTCGAATGTTGAGCAGCATTAATGCTTCCATATGGATTTGGACCAAAAAATAACTATTAAAGAGACAGACGAGTAGGAAAGAGGGAGACAGAGACAAAGGAAGATAAATCATGTTTGGAACCCACCTGGGAACCACAGCAATCTTCATAATACATCATCGTAATGCCACGTCGCTGATTTAGGTCTTCGGGACTCAAAGTGCAGCTGATCTAAATGGATGTTTTATGAGAAAAGTAATATTCAGAATATTGGCCCGCAAATTATCTGATTGTAGTGTAAGCCTCAAACCTCAAAGAAACATCCATCTGGTGGCTGTAGTCGGATGACCTGTTCACTTTCGAAAGCTGGCTGCTCGACAGTGTTGTGGAACTTATCGACATTTTTCCATCAACTTTTACCGCTGTTAAATCTGCCTCGGGTTTGCGAAGTCGGATCCAAAGCGTTCGGGGTGGGCATGGGCAGGATGTCTTTTTCGTCCGGACGATTTCCTGGAAAGTAATTTAGGATGTCGACATTGATTTTATTATACCTTTCCTTGTCGTCTTCTGTCGTTGAGGCCAATTTCAAGGAAGGGGGAACCGGAAACGAAGGCCAGACAGAACATGCGCACTCTGGCTCGTTGGTCCGAGACGATTCCGAGTTTATCGACGTGTGCTGTGTATTCATCGTAGCAGTGGATCTAAAAATGCTTTTGATTGTATAATTAAAATTTTTATTATTAGCTACTCATGTAATTTAATCATAATTATAGAAAAGCTTATAAATGCCAGCTTTCAGGTACGTAACAACCCTAAAAACCTAATCTCACCTGAACCTCATCTTGCTTATACTGCGGCTTCGTGTCCCTCTTCGCCGGACATTTAAATAGCACATCCTCAATCGTGTTCACAAACGATTGCAACTCATCGGCATTCAGCGAGCCAAACTGCAATTCTTCTATTTCAGTTTTTGAATGTTTACAGTACCTTCAGCAACACATTACACTGTGCCGAATGCTCCAACGGTAACCCATATTTTGTGACATGCCCTTCGACGAGCCTCGATATTTGGCCTAAATGAAAATATATAACATTCATGCAGAATTTTAAACCTGGCCGAATAATGACGTTCTTTATACTGTACGTACTGCAGTTTGACGGTGCGGATTTTACCGTAGACATCGTAGGCCTAAATTTGCATAAAAGACAACATGAATTGAAAATTACCTGCAGGGTGGTGTCAGATAGACTGTAGGTGGCCTGGAGGAGGAGTTCTTGGATGGGCTTGTTGTCATTTTTGGAGTTGAAGACGATGAGGGTATTGCCGTGTAGTCGCACAAAACACGGCTTCCAGAATCGGTCTGCCATGATTTTCTTTTTTAATGGATGTCTGGAAAGTCATCGGTAATTCGAATAAACAATTTAAATATCTCTCTCTCTCTCTCACCTACCTTATCATCAATTCCCAGCCTTCCCCAGTAAATTTCGGGATATAATCGTCCAGCGGTTGCGAATCATCCTCATCGTAAAGTGGCGTTGGCGTCGAACCATTTGAGCCTCGCTATTGACAAGTTCCATAAATCTATAACACATACCTCGCACTTAAACTCATCCTCAAACCCTGTCGGCCTCGCACTGATCGGACTCCCGCCTTCCTGGGTAGGCGTAGATAGATTTGAGCTAAATTTATTAAATACAGTGGATCCACAGATATATAAGTTACCGCCTGTCTGTTGCGCCAAAAATAATCATCATCCTGCCCGTCTGACGAAATTTTTGCCGCTTCCGCTTTTGCCTTGGCTGCTGCTACGATATCTTCAACAGGGCGTACATCGAACGGGTCGTAATTCTAGAAACTCGATGATAAATTGCAATTCTTAAAAGCTTACATCATCAAAAGATTTGCGTCAGCTGGAGCAGCGAATGGGTCTTCTTTTGGTGGCATAGCAAACGGATCTCCAGCCTTTGTGACGGTTGATGTTCCCTGAAGATGTTGAATATGGATATCGATGTGTTTATTTACCTCTGAATCTTTCGAGAAGAAGCCGGATTCACTAGGAGGAAGTTCTGGGGCGGAGGCTTCAAAGTCAGCCCAGCTTGGCGCGGTGAGGGCAGGGTCATCGGGATGGCTGGAAAGGTGGCTTTAAAGGGATAGTGTCTTTAAGGTTTAGGGAAATGACTTGAAGAGCATAGAACTCACAAATCTCCGATTGGTTGGGCACTATCCGCACTTTGCTGGAATGTCAAAGGAGCATGAGATGGGAGATCGAGAGAAGAGGATTCCTGATGGGCTTCTTTGATTAATGACCTATAAATTGAATTAAGGCTCTATGAGTGACGGGGGATAAACAGCAATACGGAACCCATCTAATATTAACCCACTTTTCCTAGGGGGAATTGCATCTGGTGGTGCAGAATCCTTCCGATCAGAGAGCCGGAACTATCGTCGGTTTCGGTGGCGGCGCTTTCAGGAGCTTTCCACCCGACCAGAGCAGCATCTCCAGGACCGACCGCCATCTTCGCAGCCATTTGCCGTGCCAATTCCTCAGATGCCCGATCCATCTTCTCCTGATCGTCCAGTGTATATTCTGGAGAAGCCGCTCGTTTTCCTAAAGGTATGGTTGAGGCGAACTGAATTATTATATACCTGTTGTTTCATCTTTTCTTCAATAGCTTTTCATTTTTCTTCTCCTCAAGGCGACGTCGGATTTCTTGTTGGGCCAGGTTTTCATTATAGCCTTGACTTCCGCTGAATAATTACAATGATAAATATTAATCTTCTTTTCAGACATACCCGACTCCCGCCAAGTAACTCTCATCTTTGATGTCTTTTGCGGCTGTCGTTTCTTCAAGATCTTTTAGTCGTTCTCCAGTTGACTTTACAGCTTCCGTGGCCTAAAAATTGGTTTTAAGGCTAGTCACTTGCTTACCTTAGCCGTCATTCTCTGGAATTGAGTCCAAGCATCTTCTTCTGGTTCTTCCTTTTTCGGCTCTTCCTTTTTAGGTACAGGTGGTGGGGCTGGTCGAGGGGGTGGAGGTCGAGCTGCTGGGGGAGGTCGGTCGGGGGCTAAAATTAAATAAAACTATACTTGTCGAAGATTCTACCAGCAACAGGTTTTGATGGCGTTTCAGGAGATGATGGTGCTTCTTTATGAGTGGGTTGCGGAGGTCTAGCCGGAGATGGAGGAGGTCTAGGTGGAGCTTGAGCAGTAGGTTGATGTGCTTCTGCCGTTTCTTCGGATCCCCAACCAAACTCATCTGACTTGACAGGTCTAAAAGATTTAGTTTGATTAAAACAATTACGTTTAAGCTTTTTTTACGATTCAGTAAAACTCACGGCGCTTCAAAGAGTGGTTTTATTACGGTGGGCGGTCGTGGTGGAGGTTGGTGATGGGTTTCGACTGGAACTTCAGCTTGTGCGGGTTCTTCTTGATAATTTTGCTCCTAATTTTACAATGTCAATAATTAGATTAGTATTTAAATACCTCAGAATAAGCTGGTTCCTGATATTCTGCCTCGGTTGGTTGTTGATCATAGTGGTAGCTCGTCTGCTCTTGGTCATAACCAGATTGCCCATTTTCATAATATTCTAAATTTCAAAGGTTTTCATAGAATCCTTAATCTGGATTTTTCTATTATACGATTAATGATTTAGTGTCTTACGTTGATTCGCGTCATATTGCTGTTGATCATAACCAGCTTGGTCGTATTGCTGCTCTTCAGCCGGAGCTATGTATCAAGTTTTATGTACACTCCGGTGCTCACCTGGTCCATAATTTTCTTCATACCATTTACGGTATTCTGGTGAATTATAATATTCAGCATCATATCCGCCTTCGGCATTATAATCGTAGTTTTGGGCTTCCGCTTCAGTACCCGGATCTGCGTTATACTAAAATTACCAAATTAAGAAGGATAATTTGATATCAAATAATTATATCGGAATTTTGAAACGAACCTGTTCTTCCTGATACTGTACCGCATCCGACCCTTCCGGCTGTTGACTTGGATATTCTGCATGTTGATAGTATTCCGCGGAGCTTCCATCCGGATATTGATAACTTTCCACCTCCGTCGTCTCATATCCAACCTCCTGCCCACTCCCATCATAATATGGTTGTTGACTAAATAAAATAAAATAAAAATTACAATGCTCTACCTAAAATAATGTGCATAATATTCGGCATAGCTCTGTTCATCCCCGTTCTCATCAATATACGTCCCCTCAAATTGCTGCGTCTCCGGGTTCCACCCTATACAAAATTCATTAATTTTTTGAGGCGTCTCACCGGGATATTGAGAATAGTCGTATTCTTGTGCCGCTACCTCAGCCTCAGTAGCCGCTTGTTCCGGCTGTTGCTCATAGTTGTTAGTATCCGAAATTTCTTCCGTTTTTGGTTCTTGGGTTTCTGCTTCGCTAGCTTCTTCTGGCTTTGTGGCTCCAGACGATTCCGGTTCAATTTTCGCTGGTTCCTCGGGCTTTTGGGTTGTGTCATCCTTTGAGGGATCCTAAAGCCAGTTAGAAATAGTTTTTAACAAAGACCAACTGTTTTCAGGCGCCTGGATTCTTTCCTGAAGCGTTCCCTCTCTTCTGCCATGTCTTCAGAAAATTCTGGGCCCTCATCGTCATCATCCATCTTGGTGGTCGAGGTATCGGCGGCGAAGGAATCGTCAAAACCGGTAGAGGCGAGTGTTTTCTACAATATAAAATTATGATCAATCTAACAGTAAATAAAAATGCATTTAAGTTGTATAAGAATTAATTCAGTTATTTAATAATTTATTTAGCTATATAGCAAGCCGCGTGCAGTTTGCAAGGGAGAATTGTAAAGCGTATCGAAGCGTAGCTGACTGGGAGCAGCAGGGGGGATTAGTTTTCATTGAGGGTTTGGATAGTAGGGGGATTATAGAATGGGTGGTAAAAAAGTAGAGACAATGTTAAATAATAGATAATTAGGGGTCATATCAGGCTCAAAAAACCGTTTGGCGACTTTTTCAAAAAAAAAACAAAAATGACAAATTTAAACGAAACCAGGCGACACCTATTTGAGTATGAGTACACTAGGTGGTGGTGGTGGTTGGTGGGCCTCCCCCCAAGTGGATGTCTCTTTCCTTCTCTCAACGTAAATCTCTCATCTTAGTGCTCCCCATACCTCTTTCTCCTTCTACTCCTCCTCCTCCTCTTTCAAATCCCGCTCACTCTCTTTTTGGCACCTCTTCTCTCCGGGATTCCTCGAGCCATCCCTCCCTCCTTTTGCCCGTATATGGCGCATAGCCTTTGGGCCCCTTCAGCCACCCCAAAATCGATGTCTCCTAAAGCCGTGTGGAGGGGGCAACTCTCCTTTTCGGTTGGAAGAAGAAGCGGGTACTTCCCTCTTTCCTGCTATCGAAAGGGGTGGAAGGAATAAGCAGACATGAATAAAGAGGGGGTTTTCGGGGAGGAGAAGCGCACGTCATTAGGTTTGAAAGGTTGTGACGGGCCAGGTATGATGAAATCTGGGTAATATAAATAAAATAAAATATATTTATAAGTTCTGAAAATAAATTACATTGACAAAAACAGAATACCTTCAAACTTCTAGCAAAGCGCTCCAATAGTTTGCATTTTATAAAATCAAGTAGGAAAACTGCAGGAGTAAAGACGTATTTTTAAGTTTTATTTTTTCTAAGGTAATTCGCTTTAGTTTTAAGAGCCAAATTATTGGCTAGTGATTAGAAAAACGTTCAATAAATGAAACTTCATAAAGCGAAAAAATACGCAAGAAATAGCACTTATTTTTAAGTCCTGATATATTTCGAATTAATATAGAACCAACCGCTCCCCCACAAAAATCCAATAGATGACATGTCAGTCCCAAAAAATTCTATTAACCGGGCGGTTTGAATGGATTTGTCGGGGCCTAGCAAAATAGGGAAAAAATAGCTTTTTAAGGACGGTTTATCAAAAATAGCATTAAGTGAATGATAAATCATAAAAACAAAAAAGAACGGAAGAGTGGGAACCAAATTTTATTTTAAATCTGAATTTAGCCCTCTATTCAGGATTAAATTTAAAACGTGATTTACAGCTATATAATAGCAATAAATTAGCCCCACCAAATCCAACGCCCACATGCTAATCTCGTAGCCCCGGGAGAGCCAAGAGAAATATGAGCGGAAATGAGGGTGGCCACCTAGCCGCGCCAAAATGACAGGGTACCCATACGGAAAACAGCAGCAGCAAAATATGGCGGGTGATTGGGATATACTGGAAAAAAGGGGGTTGGAAAAGGTGGGAAAAAGAATCCAATATCTAGAAAGCAGAAGGGCGGGTGGACATACACGGTGGGAGAGGAGGGAAAGGATGTTGATGCTAGAATGTGAAAGGAAGGCGAGCTATTGGCCGCTAGCAGCCCTGAAATAGCTTTCCGCCGATCCAGGAGCCAAGCCCGGAAAGCTTTTCCAAGGGACCCGAGGCCCGTTTCCCAGGGCTCAATTATCCGAATGAGGGATTGGGGATGGGGGACGGGGTCTTTGGATTCCCTAAAACTTGCCCTATGTCTACAGGGACTACGGGTTTGCATAAGGTACTGGAGTGTTAGCGGGAGGGGATTTGACAAAATTTTTTCCAGTTTTCGTCAAAAATGTAACAAACTAGCCAAAAAATTCAAAATTATAGTACTTTTAAAATGTTTTAAGCCTTTTGGTAATCCAAAAATGTTCAATTGCATAAATAAAAAAATCATTGAATAAAAATGCAAGCAATCCTTCCATAACTCACCGAAACTTTTGCTGCCCCTCCAAACGCCGCCTCCTCTCGGCTCTTCCCTTTCAAAGATTTTTCCAATTTCGCCTGGGCTTCGGTTTCCGCTAAAATACTTTAGACACTATTTAAAAATCCTCACCAGCTTTTCGCTCCTCAAAATTCTCCCATTCGACACTAGTCCGTCGGTTTACAACGGGTTTTGGGGGTGCCACTTCCCCTAAAAAGTGCCAAAATTAGCATGTGAATTATGGGTTTTTAATTTTTGATCCGCGTAAAAATCTTTAAATATCGAATGACCCACCTATATTGTGGATTCTCCTCCAAAATATCCCCTTCATAATCGTTTAAAGGTGTCGTCCGTCCGGATTGAGAGCCGGTTCGACGAACCTGCCATTTTAAGGGTGTAATTAACTTATTACGGCTTTTTTAAGTCCAGTAATGCAAATTCAAAAAGCAAACATCCACAACTACTAAAAATATACCTGTGTCGGGATTTGGCTGCTCATGCTGTCGTAGAATTCAGAATAGGACATGTCCGATTTTCGGCGCTTGCCACCTAGCAACCCGAATTTTTGAATGTGGGCTAAAATTTTGCATACCGGCCGGGATTTTGACTTTGATCTTTTCTTGGCGCTCTCGCTCTTGGCGTTCCTCTTCTTCTTGGGAGATGAAGGCGAAGGACTGAAAAACATAGATGAAACCATCAAACATTCAAATAGTTGCTTGCCTTGCCAGTCCCTTTAAACCAAAAAATTCACAAACCTCAATTGCGCATTGTTGTGTAGGAGTTGTAGGCCGTGGTCTTGTAAGGGCCGTCACGCTGTATTGCTGTCGCAATGCTGTATGGTCTGGGTCCTTAAATAATTTTGTAAAGATTAATTCGATGCTAATTTATACCTGCATTTTTCGGGGAGCTTCTTTTGCAGCCGGGGCAGCCGGTTGCGTTTCTAAAATCCATTTTCCCGCAAATTAAAGCATTAATAAACCTTTATTCTTGGTCGCATCGTCTAACGCCTCCAATTCGCTGTCCAAGCTATCCTGATCGGCGTCCCGCAGTAAACTCTTATGCATTTCGGTTTCCTAAATTTTTTATGCTAATTTATCATAATATGCTTACTTGTTCGGTATGCCCTGGTCCCGGGACGACCATCTTAAACTTCTGCGTCTCGCCCAGCGTCAAATCGATCGGGTCGTCGCGTTTCACCTACAAAAATAGGCTTTAAAAATGAATTAAAGCATTGTAGACGTAGACAGTAAGATAAAGCCGATCTCGAAAAATTGAAAAATTAGGAGAAAATTGAGGCTTGCACTATCTTTAGCTTTTTGTTAATCGGTTACCTCATCGTCGGATTCTTCCTCAGGGACCTAATGGCATTTTTGGTTTTTTATTGGTGCATGTATGCCTAAAAATATAGAATAATATTACCTCAATGATGGTATCATTAGTGTCGCTATTCTTCATCCCATGCTCATATCGATCGATATCTAAGGAGGCGGGCAATTCTGGTGCTGGTGGCATGTCCATATCAATCGATTCGGTGAACGAGCGCATAGCTCTCGCCGTTCGAGCCAATGGATGTTCTTAAATATTATAAAATTTAAGGTACCCGCTAAATACTTACCCGTTCCATCATCATCATTTTTAAAGGCATTCCGGCCTGCGCGGGGGTCGTACGGGAGACTCGAGTCGCCACGCCACGACATGTTTTAAGGTATGAAAACTGGCTATCACAAAAACATCTGAAAATAGAATAATTGAAGGTATCTAGGGTGTAAAGAGGAAAACAATGGAATTGATAGCGCTGGAAAAAATTGAGTGTGGAAAAGGGGGAGGAGAAGCCATAGGGTGTTGATTTGGCTATTTAGAGCCTCGGGGTGTCGTATTTTAAAGGGATTTTTGAAGGGAGGGTGAGCAAGAAAATAGAGAATGAAAATCTAGAAATATTTTTAAACATATAGGTTTGATTCAACGTGGAAATAAAGTCTATTAAAAGGTATTTTGAAGGGAGCAATCAAAAACCATGCCATAAGATTTTTAGCAAAATCTATGCATCAGATTCAACGCGCAAAACCAGATCGTAAACTATGCTGTTTTATTAAAAGACATATATAAAATACGGCTTGAAAATTACTATCATTGCGCAAATTAACGTTTTGGCAAAAGCTCCTTAATTCCGTCCCCCACCCACCTCATCAACAATGCAAACAAACCCCAGAATGAGGAATGAAATCCGAATGGAATTCACCATCCCATACTGCCTAATAGAATCCAAAATGCGATCTATACTTCATCTTCTGCTTCTGGCTCCTGCTCCTTCTTCTCTCCTTTTTCTCCTCCAACGTGAGACCCAGTTGGAATCCAATTTGGCTTCCGGACAGCATTGAGCCCTCATTTCCACACAAATCAACCAACCCCTCCATCTAGACGGCTTCACGGAGAGGGTAAATCGAAAAAGGGACGGGGGCATGGGAATTAGATAATGGCCGTGGATAATGTTTAGTGGCTTTGGAGGCTTTTGAGAGATTGGAAAATTAGATGGAGAAATGCGGATTAAAATGCTAATGAACCTGAAATCAGCAAAAATGATTTTGGGTAAAAAATCAGGCGATTCTTACAGAAATGCAATTATTTTAAAACCTTGAAAATTATGGCTATTCAAAATTGTTATTCAAATGATTCATGAAAAACTAACTCTGAATTACAGGACGCTTAAAGGGCGAAAATTTGTATAATTTTGGGCATACAAAAATTCCAAGCACGTGGTATGAAGCAAATAAATCGCAAACGATGCATAACAAATGCAAATATCGAGTAGTAAGAGCCAACAATAATAGTTCATATAAGAAATATATGAAATTTGAGGTGATGAGTATTTTACACTATAAATTACGCATAAACGTTTGCCGATAAGGTTGTTTCATGGACGAGTTGTGCCTTTTCTTCAAAACCAGGATTTTTACGAATCGATGTGAGGGGAGCCCCATGGGCCCTAGGCTGATCAGGGCCCACCACCACTGACCCCAAGGGACAAATAACCATAGGGGAAGAAGAAGAAGCCACCTCTTTTCTCTCGCTCTCTCTCCTCTCTCTGTTATTGCGCGAAAGGCACAAACGAGTGAAACGGAATCGGAAGAGGAACGAGGAGGAGGAGCGAGGAGGGCTCCGATTATCCTCGCCCGCGCCGCCTCCTCTGATTGGACCTGGGGAGGTGGAGATCGGGAAAATAGGATCTGGGAAAGTTACAAACCGATACCATACACAAGGTGTGTCGAAAAAAGATGTGTTTGGCGATGAGGAGAGAAGAAGCTCAGTTCGTGGGTTTTGCCATTTAAAGCTCTCAAATTAAAAATTTTTTTATACGTTACCGATAATTTTTTCCTTTACCACGTTCCTTAAAAAATTTGCAAATTTTTTGAGGGCAACTTGAAATTAAAACGTGATTATCAGAAAATTTCGTCGTTTTCGCGGCTTTTTGGTTATAAACACTTGAATTAAACTTCATCAAAACAGGAAAATAACCCTCCTTGGTAGCCTTTTTTACTACCCTCTTGAAGCACTACGAATTTTTTTATTGTGTAATCATCATAAAACAACTTTTTTTAAAGAGACCGTGCCATCAAACTCCCAGGCTTGAAAAGAAAAGCATAGGTGAGGCGCAGCACTCGCACTGACGAGTAATACGATGCCGTGGGTAAATAGAGCCCCCAGGGGCAGACGATTGAATATTTCGCAGGGTTCCTCCGGGCCCTAGGGGCCCTTAGGGCCCTATAGGGGCCCTTCCAATCCGCTGTGAATTGGCCCAGATTGGAGCTGGGCATTGAAGAAAAAATGGTTGAAGGGCCGATTTGACTTCTTTATTGGGTGCCTGGTGTAGATAAAATTTGAGAGGTTTTTGCCCCTTTAAAAATGTTAGAATTTCTGTATGATAAAATACATATAAAATCTATATTTTATTTTGATTTTCCGGGTCTTTCTTATACATCATGATTGAAATGCGCAATTTTGTGTAAATCGACGATTTATCTCGATTTTTTTAGACG